CTTCCTCCTTTCCTTCCTTCACTGCTTCCCACTGCCTCTCACTGCCTCACCCTGTGCTTTGAGCACTCGAAGCCCGAAGATCAAGGAGTTTGTGGCCCTCTGTGTGGACGTGCAGGAGTCAAAAGCTGTGAGGGTGCCGGTGCTGCTGGTGTGTGAGGTACTAAAATTGTGCTCTAATGCCGCAAGGTGAAATGAGGCTTCTGTATAAAATGTTTCCCGACTTAAAGACATTTTTGCAATGTTTGCTAACATGGTTTTCTTAATGGGTGGCCAATCTCTCCCGACAGCAAAGGGGGGAGCCGCTCCTTGAGGAGGATGCTGCAGTTCCAACCTCAGGGTGGCTTTGGCTGCCTAAATACCCATCTGAACATTCACTATGACAATCTCAGGAAAAAACCCTAAAACTGAAACGTGAAAAATACAGAACCACGCAACTGACATGTTTGACATGTTTCCAACTCTGGTATTAGCTTTAAAAGTCCATGTCCCTAATGGATATCAGGGAGTTGCTGTCTGTGTCCCACAGCACAGGGATAACTTGTGGATGTCAGAAGAATAAGTATTTTAAAGATGTGTACTTCCCCTTGGAAAATATGTTGGGCACTTAAAAGATGAATAAGCACAGTGCTCTTGGTGACAATGAAGCATTACACAGATTTTAGGAAAGGTTGTTATAATCATTTATTGTATGTCAACTTGTAGAGAGAATGTTTTATTTTTCAACAAATAAGGGCAAATAAATATTTGTTTTCCTGTTTGTTTATGGTAGAGAGGGGAAAAACCTTAAAATTCAAGATTCACCAGATATGTGAATTTTAAAAAGTTATATGTTTGAGGGGAATGCCTTGAGTGGAAACACTCTGTAAAGAGGACACAACAAGGCACCTGAGTTTGGGGGGGACAAGAACTTAATCCTTCAAGGGGGAAATTCACACTGAAAATCTTTGGCAGTATTAAAATTCCTTCAGATAAAACAAGCAGAAGTTGTTACTGGAAATAGGTTTGGGCTGGATTCTACAGCCTCTTCCACAGTCAGGAAGAAGCTGTGTCAACTCAGAAATCTTGACAGGACTTTTAGTAATATCTGAGCTATTTGGATGGGGTCTGTAGATCTGGACTTTGCATAAAATAGAAAATTAAATACTTTATTTTTTATTATTCACAATACACTTCACTTGATACCTAGATTTTCAGTAGTTCAGTTTTGGGATTTTTTTTTTTTTTTAACATGAGCTCTCTTTCTCTGTCATTAAATACCTGGGGAGCTTCACCTCATAATTTATCTCAAGCAAACAAAACCTAATCACCTTGTAGGAAATGACAAACCAGGTGTACTCGGTAAGTCCTGTGAACAGCTCTGAACATGGCACCACACACTGGAAGTCAAAGGGCTTGTAGTCCATCACGATGGCTCTCACATCCTCACTGGCATCAGATCTGCTAATTCCTGTGAAAACACACGGTTTGCACAGCTGAAATGCTAAGAAATAGTCTCAGTCTCAGCTCTGGGAGAGGTGGGAGGAAAAAATTGATATTTACAGCTCTAAGGACATTCAGGCTTCCCCTTTCCCTGGCAGCAGCTTTGCTTTCTGCGAGGTCTCAGCTGTTGTAACCAGAACTTTGTGCACTGGATCGTTTGATCCAGACATCAGGCATGTCTGGCTGGCTGTTGGGCAGCACGACCGGCCCTTCGTTCCCCACTCCAAAGCGATTTTTCCACGAAGAGCTGTTCTGCTGTGATGCAGCTGGAGAGACATCAAAGACCGTCTCCCTCAGGTCCAGCCGCAGGGTATCTCTCTTCCCGTTCAGGTACCCTCGCTCGGTACCGTAGGAGTCAGACAGCTCTAAGGCATCGGGACAGGAACTGGCTGATTCCGCCAGCTTCAGGCCTTGCTCGAAATCGCTGATTGACGTCTCGCTGGAGATGTTGAGCATATCAAAAGAGCTGCCAAGAGAACAAAGGCATCTGTGAATTTTGTAGATGTCAGCAGCAGGGAGAGGGCTGTGGTCTGAGGTATAATCTGACTGCTGCTGGGCAGTGTCACTGGAGCACTGGGATTTATTGAGCTGCCCTTCTTCTTTCATGCCAGCTGGCTGGATGTGCTCCAGCCCAGACCCATCCCATGCTTTCAGACCATACTTTTGACAGCGGCAATCTCGGCAGAGTCTCTCCCTGTGAATTTCTGTTTCTGAGGTGCTGTGCTTGTAAGGAGAGGAAGTTTGCAAGGCAGGACACTGGCACAGGCTGATCTGCTGGTCTCCGAGCGGGTCCTGCAGACTCTGTCTCTCTCTTTCCACGGAGGGGTGCGTTCCCACTCGAGGGCATCTGTTGTCTTCAACTTGTATGTCTTCAGAGAGCACAGAGGGCCGGTTGGACAGCTTGCTTGTGGAAGTGCTGTTGTCAAAACTGTCGCTGAGTTTCCTAGACAAGGGTTGGAGCTCATATTGCTCATTTGCAGTGTTGGACTCCTGGACCTTCCGCAACCGGTTTTGCTTCTCGCTGCCCCCACAGGCAAAGTTTCCGTTCGGCCCGGAGTCATCAGAGTAGTCTTTCATGGTGTGGGCACAAGGCCAGAGGATCTGCCCACAATTCTTCTCTGGGCCGAAGAAGCAGCAGAGCGACTGGAAGAAGAGGCTGGCAAACCCACAGCTGATACAATTGATCATCATGATGAATATGCCCAGCTTCCTGTACGCCAGCACCATGGCAGGCAGCATAATGACCCCTGCAGAGAAGAGAGCAGAAGCTGCCATGGCTGTGGCACAGCTCATCTGCTTCAGGGAAAAGGCCACTCGGCTCAGGCGGTCGGAATGGGGGCACAGGTGATAGGAGATGCAGTAGTTGACAGTGAAGTCAACAGAGAGACCGACTGCAGCTGAAATGAAGAGAGACTCCACTGCGTTGAGCTGCCACTCCAAGAGGACCAAGAGGCCGGTGGTTACCAGGACGGTGCCTGCAATGGCAGTAACGGAGAAAACGCTAAGGAGAACATTCCAGGTCGTGAGCAGCAGCACCACAAAGGAAATGGCTATGGAGAGCCCCATGACCACCATGGTTTCTGTGCTGAGACTGTGCTGGAGGTTGTACAGCTCTAGTTTACTGGTAAACCATCCGTTCTGAAGCCCCACAGGGGCAGTTTTCATTTCCTCTGTTATCCAGAGGCTGATTTCCTCATAGAATTGTTTGGCTCTGCTATAGTTGAAGGTATAATGATAGATAGTTTGAAACTGCAGCACTAAGGCAGCGACATTTCCCTCCCCATCAAACCTGAGGCCCATATCATGTGTTTCTGCCCCTTCCCTGCCCTCTTCCAGGAGCATCATTTTGATGCAGTGCAGGAAGGCTTCGCTTCTGTAAGGGAAGGAGAACTGGTTACAGCAAAGGTTGAAGCTGTGGTCTCGCTGGGAGCACTGGCGACTGTTCATCCACCTGAGGAACTCCTCCATGAAGCACACAGTAGACTTCTGTTCTGCATCAGGGTAATAAAAAGTTCTGTTCTTCACTTTTTGGCAGAATTCGAGGAGCCACTTCTGGGCATCAGGGTTTTGGATGGTAAAGGTGGTGTCTGTCACTAGGGTGCCATTGCTTTTTGGATTGAAATGGTCCCCGTTATCCACGGGCAGAATGCCCCAGACTATGGTGACAGGCATACGCTGCCCTTCTCCGTGCTCCAGCCTCTCAAACATGAACTGGTGGCAGTACTCGGAATCGTACCTCTCAAAGGGATGGCTCAGCCTGAACACTTGGACGGACGACGTCTCCAGAGTCGGGAGTTTGAGTTTGGGGTTGGAACAGGAAATGTAGGCACCTCCTATGGCTAAGGCAGCAAACCAGCAGATCCAGATGTACCGAAACTTGATGACCCCGCAAGGCAGAAGCTTTTCAAAGAGCAGCTTGGAGGTTTCAGACAGTGTGTTCTGGAGAGCCCGGAGGATGTAATGGACGGAGAGAGCCACTCTCTTGTGGCTGCTGTTGTTCCAGTAGGCTTCTGGCTTGTAAACGCAGGTGGTTGTGATGTAGCGCTCGTAGAGCACGGCCGAAGAGGGCAGCCAGGTCATCATGAAAACCAGGTTCACCAGCACCGAGGTGCCCATGTAGACAGCGAAGCAGCGGATGGCTGTGATGTTGCTGATGTAGCTGGCGTAGAAGGCAGCACCAGTTGTGAAGCACGAGGCCAGCATGAGATAGGCAAAGTGGTGCATGGTTTGACTCACCCACTGAGCGAGCCCGGCGGAAGGGTTCTGGCTCTTGCTGAGGTTCCACAGGTCGAAGAAGACAAAAGTGTGGTTGGCACAAATGCTGCTGAGAATGATGACTGCTGTCAGGTTTACAAAAGGGAAATAGGTGAATCTGAAGGCCACCTTGTACAAGAAGTAGGAGATCATCAAAGAACTGACAACAGCGAGCAAGACCATCAGGGTAATAAACACTGAGCGTAAATAAAAAGAAATGCTTAGAAAAATAGCTAATATTGCCAGGACTGGATACTTAGTATCGAGTAAAAGGTAGTGCTGGAATAGTTTCTGTTTAAGGCCCAGGTCCATTCCAGTGATAGATGTGTAGTTATCAAACAGATCCCAGGTTTCAAGGTTGTCCAAGTAGATCCCCATCATAGATGCACCTTTTCTTGTAGGCAGGAAAAGCAGGCTGTATTTGAGAGAGGGCACTTGGTACTCCATTGTCTGGGGACTGAGAAAGTCCCTGTCAACCAGGAAGTGAAGCAGCTGGTAGATGGCATTGAAGCGGGTACATTTTTCTGGGACTTGGGCACACTGAGAGTGTTTCTGCCTGGCAGCTTCGGGGCCTATGCAGGAGGGAGTGAGGACACCTCGGTGGTAGTCTGGGGCACAGGCACGGAGCAGGGCCAGCGTGTGGGAGATGTCCCCTTGGGTTATCTCCAGACAGGAAGACCTGTTGTACAGGACAGCAATGTAGTTCCCCAGGGACCAGCTTGGGCAGCATTCGTTGGCTTCAGTGCGCTGGCAGAGGTCTCTAAAATGCACGTGGGAGCGTATCTGAAAAACATGAGGGGGCATCGGGTCAGACCCTCTCTTGCAGCCTCAGTGTTCCTTACTCACTGCAGTAATTCTCTCCTCTCCTCTCCTCTCCTCTCCTCTCCTCTCCTCTCCTCTCCTCTC